AGAGAAACTAAAATAGGAAACACCTTTTGAAAGAGTAACAATATTACAAATTTCGAAATTTCTGTCAAAATGAAAAAGAAAAAATAATAATAATAAGATAAAGAAATTGGAGAAAAAGTAATAACGTGTTAGTTTACAGTCGCGACGCACACGTCGACACTAGATAAAGATGACAACGACGACACGACGACGACGACGACGAAGAAGACAAGACGCGAGCGCGACGAGGAGGTCAAAATCCATTTTGCAACGTTCCGTCTTCGATCGACGATAATAACGACCTACCGAATACCTCTCTCTCTCTCTCTCTCTCTCTCTATCTCTCTCTCTTTCTCTCTCTCTCTTCTCTCTCTTTTTTCCTTTCCTCCTATTTCCTTCGAAGCAAAAATCGCGTACTATTTAATGCGTAATTATTTCTTTTATTTTTTCCCTCTCTTTTTTTCTTTATCGTCCGATCATCATCTTTCTCTCTCTCTCTCTCTCTCTCTCGCTTTCTCTCTCTATATATATATATGTATATATATACACATATATATACATCTAAATATGTATATACAAATATATATATATACATATATATATATATATAGATATAAATATATCTTCCTCTTTTTTTTATCTTTCTTAACGTATACGTGCCCGAGAAGCATAATGCTTCTACCTCTCTTCGATACCGTTTACATATGCGAATCTTCCCTCGGAGACGACGTGGACGGAGTGCCGACGGTGTGTAACCTGCCGGGCAGGACGGGGGACACTGCGACACTGACCCGCACGCCGCCTATCGACGAGGATACGAAACTACTGTTCGTTCCTCGCTCCGTCCGTCTAGCGACACAGCATGCGCGCGCATCTCCTTCCCTCTCTCTCTTTCTCACTCTCACATGCTCTCTCTCTTTCTCTCTCTCTCTTTTCCGTTCTCGTTCTCGTTCTCTCTCTCTCTTTCACTCTCGCTCGCTTTTTCGTTCGGTCCTTTGACGAAGGCAACTCGCCAACGGACTTCTCCGTTACGATCGACGAATTTCCGTGAAAGTCTCTCTTTTATTCTCTTCCAACTTTTTATTTTCCTCTTTTTTTCTTACTTTCCTTCATTCTTTCATACTTTCATACTTTCTTTCATTCTTACGTAAGAAATCGTTGAAACATTTTCTTTCTTCCTTTTCTTCTTTCTTTCTTTCTTTCTTTCTTTCTTTCCTTCCTTCCTTTCTTCCTTCCTTCCTTCCTTCCTTCCTTCCTTCCTACGAATATTCGACGAAGGATTTTCTACAATATCGAAAAACGTTATCCCTCTTTATTGACATAGTTTATTTCCGATTCGAATCGATGCACCGACTCAACCAAAGGCGTACTACTCTCTATCGTTATACGATTATCCCGCCTTTTTTTCTTTTATCGGAATAGACGTTATCACGTGACCAACGACGTAGAAAGGAGACAATCGTTCACTTTCTCATGGATTTTTATTTACTTATTTTCCTCTTACTTATTTTCCTCTTTGCTATTTCTTCTTTGAAATAATATTTTCATGAACACATTTACGAATTCTCGTAAAATCGATCGAATCCCACCATCATCTATATATATTTATATATATGTATGTATGTATGTATGTATGTATGTATGTATATATGTATAAAGAAATATATATATATATATATTTTTTTTTCTCTCTCTCTCTGATAAAACAACGAACCTAAATAATTCTCCGTTATATAGTATATCCTAACTCCATTTCTGTCTATGTACACATAAGTACATATACGTAAGTATGTTTTCTCTTCCGCGAAATATATTGCGGTCTCAGCTTACGGTATAAATTTGAAAGTTTATCAACATTTTTCCTATCGCGTTTTGCGTTTTATTTTTAATCCACCGACCTTACGGCAAAGCTCTTCGAAGCTATTGAGGATAGAGGAAATAACGCAAAGAAAAAAGAAGAAAAAAGAAAAAAAAAAAGAAAAAAAAAGATAAGAAAAAAAAAGGAACAAAAAATTGTTGTGCGGCCGTGTGTCTACTATCGGTTATCGATACTAATGTTTTGATTATGTTTCGGTTCGTTTAACAAGAACGACGTTCTTCTATCGTTCGAACGTTAACACCATCGACTAAACGTTTTAAAACAAGAATTTTTTGATACATCTGTGGATGATGGCAAACATATACACACACACATACACACGCGTATATATATATATATATATATATATATATATATCCTGTTTAATGTAACCAATTTGAAGAAAAAAAAATATATATATATGTATATTATATAATATATAAAATATATTTTAAGATATTGATATATATAAATTGATATATATATATATATATATATAAATATATGTATGTATATGTATATATATATATATATGTATATTTATACAAGCTGACATGGATATATCCGAGGAAATATCTTGCTTATCTACTTATAAGTTATAAAGAAAGTTTAATAAAGAAAAATTCGTATGGCCTTGAATTATCTATGAATTCAAAATATGAAAATAATTTTTCTCTTTTTCTTTTTTCTTGTATTTTTTTTTTTACCTCCTGATCCCTTCGACATAATATACAAAGAACTATATTGATTATTCTAAATTGATACCCATAATTGTTTCTTTTATTTGCATAATTTATGTAGTAAAGTGATGATCTATTCGCAATTGAAAATTATATTTGATAAAAGATTAGAACTGTGCATCGTTTAAAAAATAATCGTTATATTGATTAATGTATTTCTATTTCAGCATAATTCTTATATCGTGATATATAGAAATTCATTATTTGCTAATTAATCAATCGTTCGTGTATTTGAAAGCTTCGAAGATCAACGATTTCATTCGACGTAATCGTTATTAAAAATATTTTTTTACCTTTATATATAAATATATATTTATATACATATATATAGCCTCACGATTTTTATTTTTTTTCAAATTCTAAATATGAAAATAATCGACTACTTGCATTAAAACTTAACATATCAACTTAAAATCACCTTTGAAACGATTCGTAAAATAATAATTTGAATATTTCTATCGTGAACATGAGATATTCATTGAAAATAATTAAAGTTATATAAACATGTAAAGAAAAAAAAAAAAGAAAAAAAGAAAAAAAAAATAAATAAAAACAAAAAATTCAATTGATCCTTCTAATACGTAAAGATAAGAAAAAAGAAAAAAAAATTCAATTGATCCTTCTAATAGGAATCCTTCTAATAGTAAAGATAAGAAAAAAGAAAAAAAAAAAAGAAAGAAGATTTTTACGTGCCATGAACTCTCAACTGATTCAGAGCCAAACAAATTTCCCTTATTAAATCTTTTTCTTTACAGCTTCATTTTAATCAGGCGTCGTGAGATATTTACTCGTATACATTTACGAATGGAAATCGTAAATATAAATTATATGTGTACAGGTGTATTCATAAATACATACATACATACATACATATATATATATATATATATATACACGTTAGCCCAAAGTTTTCTCGACTATAGCTATTCATTCCGACGAAGGCACGAAACGCGAAAATTGTTTAAAGATGGTACCTCACTTTCAAGATATCAAAGATATCGAGTGAGACTCACTTGAGAAGCTCTCTTCATCCTTTACCTCCAACCCTACTCTTTCCCTTTTTAGATGACAGGAATGACAAGACGGGAGAGAAAGAGAAAGAGAGACAGAGAGAGAGAGAGAGAGAGAGAGAGAGAGAGAGAGAGAGAGAGAGAAAGTTCACAGGGCATGTCAATATTTGAACTTTTATGAGAACTTTATAGAACGAACCCTCCCAAAATTTAAATAAATGCAAGAAATATTAATTGGGTAATCATTTAATCAGATTTTTTTTTTTCTTTTTTTATAGTCGTGTACCAATTTTTCCCTTATACGAGATATGCGGAGTAAATATGTATATACACATATGTGTATATATGTGTGTATATATATATAACGTATAGATAATCTCACATAAAGTGGTCGAAAAGTTTTTAGATGAGTCAAAAGTTATTTAAGCGAATTAAAAAAAAATCAATTACTCTCTTTTCTACAGACTTTTACAGGACGAATTTTTTCTTTTTTTTTTTTTTTTTTTTTCCTAATTGTAAAGTTACAAGCTTTGCAATTTTTTTTTTTATGTAATATATAAAGAAGAAGAAAAGATAATTAAGTTTAGAAAGTGTCGATAAAAGAGTAATTGATTTTTCAAATCATTTTAGAATTTCTAGATCATCCCGTATATATCGTGTAGAGTAATATCAATAAAATAAATAAAATTACATATTATATATATATATATATATATATATATATATAATATATATATTTATATATATGTATATGAAAAATTTATATATAAATATAAAGATACTATTGAATTATATATAATGAAATGATACTATTGCTTCGCCATAAAATGCATCAATAATCTAAAGATCTAGGAAACGTATAATTCTCGGGTACGTTTTAAAAGAATTCGAAGGCATACTTGAATTCTTTTGAGCACGAGACTGCGGCAGAGCCTGAATGGCGCCAGTCAGGGCCGTCTTAATTTTATTCGCAATAAAATGTTGAAAGAAACAATACTAATTATTCTCAATCGTTCTTTTATCGTTTAAATTTCAACGAACTTTTTTATCATTTTTTAACGATCGAGCAATAAGACCGCGATAAAAGGGACAATGTCGATGATAAATTCCACGTTAAAGGTAGACATTATAAAGATAAAAATATTTTTAAATGTATATATATATATATATATATATATATATATATATATATGTATATTTATAAGTCTCTGCCATTTAAAAAAATCAAGTTCTTCGATCAAATTTTGAAGGCAATTCATCGACTATCGTATTATATGTACGTCATATTTTATCAAAACAGGTCGAAGAAAAAATATAAGAGTTACATGCTTAAATGTTTTGCATTAAAATTTTTCTTTTTATATTTAAAGAGACAATCATAGCGATGTTACGATAAAAATTGGCGATCCTTACCTGTGCAACTTTTTCACCCATATTTGGCGTATGCATGGCCCCTTGAAAATATTTCGCCGAGCCGTTGTCCTGCAGAGAGAACTAAAAATTATAAATAAGAGACAACGATAAATTTTCTTTATTATCGTTCATTGATACGACATATATAGATACATATATATGTATTATTATTAAAATGTATATATAATTAAATATCATATACACCCACATATATATATATATATATATATTTAATATTAAATTTATATGTACATACATGCATGTATGTGTATATATATATGTACGTATATATATATATATATGATTTAATAATAAACATTATCTTACTTTGTGTTTGATAGAATCCGGGCCCATTTGGCTGAGAGAAGGTGATTTTCGATCCTTGGACGTTCTCCATTTTTGTAGATCGCTCTCAGAAGCAACACCCGGGAAAATTTTCGAATGTTTCGCTGCTAAAAGAGGAAACGTCAATGTTATCCATCATCGTTTTTAAAAATCGTTTAATTTTACATATATACATATACATATATACATATATATATATGCATATGTGTGTGTGTGTATGTATATGTATATAGATATAGATATATATATCTCGTAATAAAACGTACTCTGTTATTCTAAAACTCTAGAGGTGCGAAATACAGGCTCGATCAAATTCATAACGCTTCAATAATGATAATAAACGTTTCGTATACGACTCGCTTCAAGGACACAATATTAAACTTCTAAAAGAAAAGAAAAGAAAAGAAAAAAAAAAAAAAAAAAAAAAAAAAGAAATGATACATCTGCCGACATCCTTTTATTCTCTCGATAGAAATATCACAAATGAATTTTTATTTACCAAACTTTTTTATTAATTACATCGCATATCAAATATCGTCACATAAATATATTTTTGATCGAAAGATTAAAAAAAAAAAAAAAGAAAAAAAAAAGAAAAAAAAAGGAGGAGAAAATAACGAATGGTTGGTTTTTTTTTTTTGGTTTTTTCTTCTTCTTTTTTTTTCTTTTTTTTTTTTCTTCTTTCTTTCTTTCTTTCTATTTTTATTATATGTATACACAAATGTATGTGTTACGATACTGCTGCTCTTACGTTACCCATCAAACTAATCTAAAATAATAAATTACGATGATTACGTACATGTATAATAAAGCACATAAATAGATCGTACGAATCGTAGCACTAGAAGACAAAAAGAAAACAAAAAGAAGAAAAAAAAAGAAAAAAGAAAAAAAGACAAAAAGAAAGAAAGAAAAAAAAAAGAAAAGAAAAGTGTCGTCGAATAATAATCAATAAATGAATTATATTTTATGGCCAATCTACTCGCGCGTAATTCGATCGAAAACGAAAATGTAATAGTTCTCATATAACAAAATATTGAAATACAACATACTGATAAGTGATACGAGACTAAATGGTGATAAACATTTGAATATCTACGATCAATGTGAATAAATAAATAAATAAATAAATAAATAAATAAATAAATAAATAAAGGAACTCCCAAAAAAAAAACCGAGCCTATATCTCGATCTAAAAGCAGTTAATAAGAGTGTGTCAATAAATGAGTTAATCAATCGGCACTAGAGAAGCTGCAAACCTGTGAAAGAAAGAACATGTTCGACAAAAATCGTTGTGAGTAATCATTTTTTTATTTTCTTTTATGTTTCATACCGTATGTTAAGTGTTCTCTTGTTTTTTTTTCCAATGTTTTATTAATTCTTTTATTTATTCTAATTTGTTTATTTCTTGTTTTTCCTTTTCTTTTTTTTTTTTTTTTGTAATAGATGGTAATATGCGATAACCTCTACGATAAGTATATGTATGTGTATATATGTATATATATATATACACATATATTATATATATATATATATATATATAAATAAATAAATATATATATACATACATACGTATATATACACACACATACAAATATACACACACATCTATATATATATATATATATTAATATATAAATATATATATATATGTATGTATATATGTATGTATATGTCAAATTCTCGTAGATATTTAATTAATGTATGTGGATTTTATCGATGATGGTTTGTACAATGATTATATTATGGTGGTTATAATCGATTTCGCACTATGTTTCTAACGCACGTCACGTTATTGGGAATATATATATACACATATATATATATATATATATATATATATATATATATATATATATATATGTTTATATCATTGGGGATTGTTAACTTATATTATTCGAATAAAATCCGTAAGAAATGCATCGTTGAAATGAGCCAAAAGTAATTCGGCCAGTAATCCTTCGTCTTGAAAATACGAATTTGAATCTCTCGACCAGCCGAACGTTTTTCTTTTTTCTTTTCTTTTCTTTTTTTTTTGTTCTTTTTTCTTGTCTTTCATTTCCTTTTTTTTTTTTTTTTTTTTTTCTTATCTTTGAATAAAATCAATCGAAATTATGACGAAATCACGATAAATGCGATATTACGGAAGAAATTCGTAAGCGTTCGTTCGACGAAAATGACGAAATTAATTTATTTACTTTGCGTTCGTTCATAAATACGTCCGTACAAATATATCCTACGACTGTTGAAAGTTACAAGAATGTTTGTATAAGAGAATTATTGCACGTTACTGTGTCAATCGTAGAGTCAGTTGCAAAAAGAAAAAAGAGAAATAAATGAAAAATAATCCATTTGGATATTTCGCGTTTTATTTGTATCAAAAAAAAAAAAAAAAAAAAAAAAGAAAAGAAAAAAAAGAAGAAGAAAAGAGAAAAAAATCGTCCGATTTGATAACACATAGGCCCTGTAATGAAACTTTTTAACTTATTGGGGAAACAAAAACGAAGAAAAAAGAAAGCAAGAAGGGAAGAAAAAAAAAAAAAAAAGAAAAGAAAAGAGAAAAATTAAAATGAAAAATTATAATTGAAGATATATAAATCGATGATACCGTATTAAAATATTAATTTACAAGATGATGTTGTATTTTTAACAATTTTGTGTTCCAACAAATGGGAAGTTACGTAGAATGCTGTCAGGATTATCACGCGGAGGGATTATTAATCGAACACTACTACAGATTACAATTGTCCATGCGTGATCAAAATTGAACGAAAAATGTTTCTATCGTAGAAATGAAATGTCAAGGAACAACATGGTATTATTAATCCTTTCCGTTTTTTTTTCTTTTTTTTTTTTTTGTTTTTTATTGAAAAAAGAAAGAGAAAAAAAGAAAAACAAAAAAGAAAAAAAAAACAGAAAAAAGAAATACCCTCCAAATGCGTCAATTTTTTTATCGATACCAATAAATACACACGTAAATCCATTAACAAAATTCTTTGATAATTTCGAAATTTCAGTTGAAAGATATTTTGTGCGATATTACGAACGTAAACTCCTCGTATATTTTCTTTTTTATTCTTGATCAATAAGATCGAAAATAGATTGGATGTTTTGTCATCGATGAATGTAAATGATCGATATATAAATATAAATATATATATATATATATATATATATATATATACATATATATATATATGTATATATATAAAAGCATTTTAAAATCAGCAGTGTTGGTGCGCAAAACGTGGCTGGCCGAGCAAGGCTACGGTGTGCTCGTTTGATAATAATATATATATATATATATATAATAGTATATATAATACGGTTTAATAATATCGGCAAAGTGGGCACTCCTGTCGGATTAAAATGAGAATTTCATGTAAGTAATAAGTAGAATAATAATAGTAGTAGTAGTAGTAATAGTAGTTAATAGTAGTAGTAGTAGTAGTAGTAGTAGTAGTAGATGGTGAGCAATAAAAACAGGCCTATGAAAGCTCGATCGGACAACGAGTAACGTTATCTCTTGAAAGCTCATGACAGAAAAAAAGGAAGCCTCAAGCGGTTGGTAAGTTATAAAATAGGGGTGCAAACTCGCCGGCTCGGCTCGGTCGGTTAAATGAAAACCAAGATGGAGCAGATAATCCTGCCCCTTCCTGTTTTACCTTCGGTGAGGTTATCGACTGTTGCTGGCCTTCGCTCGAGGGTGACGTGTTCGCTACCTCTGCCTGCTACTAAAATAGTTTTTCCGATGTTTGACTTTTGATTTTGACAATATGTACGTTTATATGCTGAAGTAGTAGATAAAGAAGTAGAAGAAGAAGTAGAAGTAGAAGAAGAAGAAGAAAAAGAAGAAGAAAAAGAAGAAGAAGAAGAAGAAGAAGAAGAAAAAGAAGAAGGAGGAAGAAGAAGAAAAAGAAGAAGATAAAAGAAGATGCAATAGAAGAGGGTGATGGGGTAGAGGGTTGATTCGTTGGTTGGTTTATTGATTGATTGATTGATTGTTTTTCTGGTTGGGAAATATGCGTTTTGTTTTTCTTTTTTTTTTTTTATTTTTTTTTTCTTTTTTTTTTCTTTTCTTTTCTTTTTTTTTTTCTATCATTATGACATAGGCGAAGATATAAAGAGATAAAGGGAAAGGGGAGAAAGACAAAGGGTAAGATAGACGGACGAGTGGAGTAACGTTTTTAATTAAAAAAACAAAAAAAAAGGAAAAAAAAGAGAGAGAGAGAGAGAGAAATAATCACGATTAAAATCTGTAAATGCAAGAAGGATAATACAAAACGATCGAACGATTTACGCGTAGGAAAAAAAAAAAAGAAAAAGGAACGAAAAGGATTTCGAAGAAGGGTGGGTAGGGAAAGAGAGAAAAAGAAGAAGAGAAGAGAAACGATTTTCTCGTTTTCACGATGATCGATTTTTGTATACGCGGCTGTTCTTATTTTTTTTCCTTTTCTTCTTTACAGCACTCGTTCCAGCTTTGGCGGGTTATTTGAATTCGAGCCGGGCATTTATCCGGCCTCTCTTTTATCATCTTACACAACATTCGATAACAATCCTTCGATGGTTCTTTTTTCCTTTTTTTTTTCTTTTTTTTTTTTTTTCTTTCTTTCTTTTTTTCTTCCTTCTTGAAAAACATACAAAATGGCAAAATACAATTACAGATTATACGACATTCAAAGGCAAAAGGTCATGTTAACCGTCAACACTTGTGTCATAAAAAAGATAGCATGCGATAATATTAACATATGTATATGATAGCCAAGTTAACGGGTAACTCTGTATAATATATACATATTCTTATTCGACGTACTGCATACAACATAAAAAAAAAAAAAAGAAAAAATCATTATATCGTCGTTTGTGGAAGACGGCAAGTTGATGAAAATAAAATTGTCATCTAACTCGGCAATTTCGACGATCGTTCTCGTCTGATTACAATTGACATTCAAACGATTATATCGTATAAAATAAAAATTTAGATAAACAAAGTCTAGAGGAGCAGAAAGAGAGAGAGAGAGAGAGAGAGAGAGAGAGAGAGAGAGAGAAACACGCAAAAAAAAAAGAAGATAAAGATAATAGACAAAAGTAACAAGAAAGAGAAAGAAAAAAAAGAAAATATAAAAGAACAAAAATTAAAATCTTTTTTTTACGTCAAGCGAAAGTAACAAAAAAAAAAAAAAAAAAAAAACAAAAAAAAACAAAAAAAGAAAGAAGAAGAAGACGAAGAAGAGGAAGAGAAAGAGGTAAGTAGAGAAAAAAAATTATTAAAGAAAAAAGGATATTGATAAAAATTGATTACATAACTTTACTACAGAGAAGCACAGTTATATAGAGATAGTGGACATAGAAGGGGTTGGGAGGGATGAGGGTGAAGGAAAAGAAAGGAATATATATATATATATATATCACAACGAGTTAACTCGATGTATATATGTATGTATGTATGTACAGATATATCGGGAATGGTTTAATGGGAAAATATTTTTTATGGTGTACTCCCGAAGAAGTAATCTGCCTGTTCATGCTCGGCCCAGTCCCTGTGTCTCTTCTCGGTATCTGGCAGATATCGATCGAGTCGCGGAACTAGAATTCCATGGCGTCAAGAAGTCTTGCGAACGAGCGGATAGAGAAGCGATACGAATGAATAGCGATATTTACCAGAATATACATTATCATTATCATTATCATCATCATCATCATCATCATCATCATCATCATCATCATCATCATCATCATCATCATCATCATCATTATTATTATTATTATTATTATTATCTGCTAAAGAGTAAAATACAGAATAATAACCCAATTTTCATTGCAAACTTATGCTAATGTCAAGAGACAAATAAAAGTAAGTAAGTACACATGAGTACTTACTTAAGAACGAGCTACGATAAATCCGGGAAAAGAAATAGAAAAAAGAGATAGTAATAGAATCGGAGAGTTATATAGATATATAATATATAGATAGATACGTAGATAGATAGAGTGAGAGAGTGAGAGATTGAGAGAGAGAGAGAGAGAGAGAGAGAGAGAGAGAGAAAGAGAAAGAGAGAGAGAAAAAGAAAGAGAGAGAGAGTGAGAGAGAGAGAGAGAGAGAGAAGGAAAGATAACATAAGATCTCAGTTAAAATTTACTTACAAACGCTGCAGGTTAGGCTGCGACATGGCGCCCTCGTCGTATCCGGTTTTATGGCCTTTCTCGAAATTGCATCTAAACTTGCCGCATGAGAAACACTTCGAGAAGGTCCACCTTCCGTAACCCCACCTGCCGATGAATTCGGACCTTCCCATATTCCCGACTTCTGCGAGACCTATGATCAACAAATTGAATGTGATAATATTTTATAGTTCCTTATTTTTTTCCAGTTTGCCTGTTTGTTCGTTCGTTTGTTTATTCCTCTTTTTTTTTCTAACGATATTATTAATTAGAATAATATCTCTCTATCGATTGAATATCTGTTCTTTTCTTTTTCTTTTTTCTTATTCTTTTTCTCCTTCCTTTTTTTTCCCCTTTTCTTTTCATCAACTGTATAATTCTCTATACAAATATATATGTATATATATATATATATTTTTTTTTTTTATATCAATCCTCCAAAAAGTTATTTATTTTTCGAAGATATATAAATAAATAAATAATTAATTAAATATCATATTTACGTTGGATCGTATTTCAATGGATTTTAACAACGATCGTACTTCGTTGATACTGAATAATTTTTTTACTCGTTATATCGTCGTTATTCCATAGATTTATTTGTATTTGAAAATAAATAAATATTATATTTGTCTTCGATAGAATTTCAATGAATTTCAATGACGATTCAAACGTGAAAAATGTTAAAAGTAATATAATCTATATATACGAAGTTACTTGCTCGATTGCTAAACGTCGACTGAGACTTATCCAAGGACATGCCCGAATGTTTCATTATTTTTATTTTGTTTTCTTGTTACATCATCAATTTCATTCTTGGAACTTGGGCGAGCCTAATAACAGTCAGGCGTTGTATGTAAACCGATAGCACATTGTGTTACCACTTTTTTTTTTTAAATAAACAGAATCTTCGTAAAAGTATATTCGTAATGTAAAATTTATGCATACTCTATTAAAATTATTTGATTACCGAGCTGAATTAATTTTCTTTTAAATATGAATAATTTTTATAAATGAAGGAAAGAATGTTTTGAAAAAAAAATATATATATATATGTATATATATATATATGAAAACTTTGTCTATAGTAAAATTTGTTTGATTCGACACATTATATATATATATATATATATATATATATATATATAACGTTATAAATTGTAAAATAAAAAATAAATGTTATATTATATCATACACTATATGCTATATTGTAAATGTTACGATACGTTTAAAATTGTTTTCTAAATAAAAGTCATTATATTAAAGAGACTTTAACGTTACGATGAAACTACGAATCTATTTGTAAATTAATTCAATATAAAACGAGCATACGTATATTGCATTATAAATTAATTTTATTCAATGTTACAGGATGTAATGAAAATTTCTCAAGCAACTTAAAGGAGAGTTCATTAAATAATTTTACAAATCGATTTAATATTTTTTTTTTTCAACATCTCATAAGTTAATTCCTTTTTCTTTTTCACCGATTATAAAAATTGCGAGTTAAGAATTAAAAATGAATCTAAAATATTTAAAAAGTAGAATATAAATTCGTTTCAATCATGAAATAATATAACAAAATTTTTATCAAATCACGTTAAATAGAGATTTTAATTTCAATTTATATACGTATGTATAAACTTACGTAGGAATAACTCTATATCTCTAAATATCTTCCTAAATATGATCATGCTGTTAACACGACTTGTTTATATTCCGTACGATAAACTTTTTAAGATAAACTCGAAGTATCTCACGGTTTAATGACGTCATTCGTTTCGTTTTATCAAAGAAATTATTTACAGAAGATATATATATATATATACGTCTATAAATATATATAAAGAAGAAGAAAGAAAAAAAAAGATCGAAAAGAGACGCAAGGAATCATTATTATTCTAAAGGGAAGGATATTCGATAAAACTTATTGATATTAAATATCGAGCTCATTTTATATAACACTGCGGATTTTTAAAGCTTATACTTACATCGCTGACACCCTCGGGACTTGCAATAGGAGCTGTAGTACTTGGCTGTACAACATTTGCACTGGCCACTGATGTAGCACCGCCATTGTTGCTTCCAGCTGGTGGTACTGGCAGGGAGGGTGGTGGTGTACCAGTCCTCCCTGGACCCCAAGATTCCATCATCGTGGGTGAACCACATGTTAGCGGACTATAATAACATATCGAAATGTCTGACTTTAATTTTTTCTCTCTCCCTTTCTTTTTATTTTCTTTTTTTTTTCTCTCTCTCTCTAATTTTTTGCTAATGATAACTATTTAAAAAAAAATATATATATATATTCTTTTTTTTTTTTAAGTCGTCCATATATCACATATGTAAATCAGTTAATCCTGTTAAGTGTCAGTTAATCCTGTGGTGGATGATTAATTTGCGACATTTATTTTTTTGTTTCCTGTTCTTTTTTCTTTCTTTATTATTATCATTATTGTTATTGTTATTATTATTCTTTTGGCATGCGAACCACACATAGTGTAGCGAACTATAATAACAGATCGAAATATCCAACGTCATTTTTTACGACGAAATATAGGATTATCGAAAAATTTTTTTTAAACCCCTATCCACCCCCACGTGTATTTCATGTCCCATGTGTATATATGTACTTACATACGTCGATTATTTAATTGAATGCTGATTTAAAAATATATTTTTCTTTCACGTTATTCCATTATCGCATTACAATATATATATATATATATATATATATACTTTTCGTCGAATATTTGTTAAAAAAAAAAAAAAAAAAAAAAAACAAAAAAAAAAGAATGAACAAAATCAAACGAAAACGAAATTAGAAAATTTCTTTTTTATTTCAAAAGTTTAGGGAAAAATCGTTATTAATGATGATGATGATAATGATTATTATTATTATTCTTTATTAATAATATCTTCTCCCTCTCTCTCTCTCTCTCTCTCTCTCTCTCTCTCTTTCTCTCTCTCTCTTTTAAAGAAAAATAAAATTTGACATGTGGACGATTTTACATGTGAACGAGACGGTTAATCCTGATAATAGGACAGATATAAACGTTTTTGTTATCATTATAATCGAAAGATAAGGTGGCCATCATTGTTTGCTCGTTAGGAATGATCGTGGAAGCGCTTGTGGACGATAAACTTATATAAATCCTAAGGTTATGGTAATGGTCGATACACGATACGGAACAGAGGTCAGACCTCGCGAGTGAAGTATGTCAGTGTTAGGTCAGACTCGCCAATCGATACGTAACCTCAACCCGCAGAGCACGATACAGAAACAAGACGTCCATGCGTCTGTGAACGACGCTAACGTAAATATGGCGACTTTGTTTTGTTAAACAACAACGTCCCATTCTCGATCCGCTTTTTATTTAACACATTTACACTATTATTTTCTCTATCGTTTTCTATTCATCGACAATCTGAATACGCCAATACATTCGATTGATATTATACAATAATTAAGAATAATCTAATCGAATAATAATGATCGAAATGTTTCATTCGTTCTTTGAGCATTTAAATCGAATTAAATTAACGTTAAATAGTGAAAGTAATCGATAGTTAAAATGATAAATTAAAATGATAAATCAAATCGTATGGATGTTAGATCAAACGTTTAAAGATATATTTCCGACGTTATTACGTATGTATGTATGTATGTATGTATGTATGTATGTATGTATGTATGTATGTATGTATGTATGTATGTATGTATTTAAATCTTACGATATATTTAATATTTCGTCATTAATTATCAAGCTAGTGACACTTATTAAATCATTATGACGATACTGTGAATGTAAATGTAAATTATGTTATATTCGCGTTTAATTTGTTTCTTTAAAGTGGTGAATTTTTTATTTACTGGTTGAAAAAAAAAAAGAAAAGGGAGAAAGGAAAAAAAATGTGTATATATACATTTGGTTTAACGAATCTTCTGCTAGAAACTATTAAAAAAAAAAAACAAACAAATAAATAAATAAATATAAAATTCAAATGACAAAAAGAATCTCTGTGTTTTATTATATTATTATTATTACGGTATTGTATGATAATACTGAGATATCAGAGGAAACAAAAATTTGATGTCTGTTAAAAAATAAAATTAATCTTTATTCGATAAAATATATTGCTATAAAAAATTATGATTAATCAATGCGATAGAATGAAAAAAAAAAAATAAATAAATAAATAAAACTAGATATATTCGATTTTATATATTGGAACTTAAATGTTTCGATATTTTTTATAATATGACGTCATTAATTTTCAAGCGAGTGACACTTGACGAATCATTATGAGGATGCAGTGAATGTAAATGTAAATTCTGTTGTATATGTGTATGCATATGTGATGTATATTTGAAAAGATGTAAATTTTTTACTTTCTATTAGAATAATATATATATATATATATATATGAGTTGTTCACGAAGCCAAATTAATTAATTCCACTTATCGAATTTTTTTAAATTTAAGTATCAAACAACTTGATGATTGTCCTTACTTTATTATATTCATAATAAAATACTCTTAATTTTCGTTATTTAATACAATTGAAATGAAAAAATTTTGCTGTAGCATCGAATGAAAAATAAAATTTATTTCAGTAATAACGATTATTCTAATACTATTACACCTCATTAAAATGTATATATCGTTAGACGAAAGCTACGATCTCCATTTATACAATTCTATAATATTTATTTGTATTTATATTTTAAAAGGGAATTTTAAAAAAGCAATTTACATTATTCCATCGCATTTCTCTACAATTTCGTTTTATAAAGTTAATCGATTTGGGAAGTAAGCGACTCGTACATATATTTTATTAGATTATTACAGTAGTGTATCATCGTCGAAGAGAAAAAAAAGAAAAAGAAAAAAAAAGAAAATTGATATCCGTTTAAAAATAACAAAATCAATACTTGCTTATTTGTATAAAAATTACAATTAATTATCGTCGCGATAGAAGAAGAGACAAAAACGATTTGTCGAATGAAACGATCTCAAATTGGAATGGATCTACGAGATTCCTTTAATATGGCCGAATAAAATAAAAAAGAAAAAGAGGCAAAAAGAAAAAGGAAAAAAAAAAGAAAGAAAAGGAAAGAGAAGAAAAAAAAAAAAAGAAAAAGGAAGAGAAAAATAAAAAGATAGAAAAAGAAAAATATGAAGGAGGAAGAGAGATAGAGAGAGAAACAGAGTCAGAGAGAGAGAGAGAGAGAGAGAGAGGGTTAGGATGGGGAAAATGCAAGCATATTGCATCTACGGAAACGAAGAGAACGATGAGAGAGGCTCGACCGTTGAAAAACTCTCTTTCGGCTTTCGTTCGAGCGTGTCCGGTATCCGGAAAAATTTCATAATGGCGTTTCCGTTCCTCTATTGCTGAACGTTGTCTCGAGAATGGTTGAGAAGTGGAGTGAGGGGAAAGAAAAAAGGGGGAGAGACGATGAGGAAGTTTTGTTCCAACCTTCGAAACGTTTTCAACGTATTGCGGAAAAACTTGCTGACGTTCTTTGAAATACAAACAGAGTAAGAGAGAGAGAGAGAGAGAGAGAGAGAGAGAGAGAGAGAGAGAGAGAGAGAGAGAGAGAGAGAGAGAGAGAGATGAACACGTTATGTCTCTTCGAACTCGAAAACGAATCGTTTTGATTTTTATTCCTTCGTATTTCAATCGAAAAGTGTTGCACGTGTTTCTAGTCCCACCAAACCCCCCACCCCCCAACCCGTGTTCATTTTTTTTTCTCTTCTTTGATTAATCTTTTTTTTCTTTTTCCTTTCTCTGTTTTCTACAGATATATTTATTTCAATAATATATTTTTTTGTCATTGTTTTTCTTTTTTTTTATATATAAATTTATATATAAATATATATATATATATATATATATATATATATATATATATATATCTACTAGTAATTACTTGTTGTTACTTCGTGAAGCATGACGGACGAGCTTTACAAAAAAAAAAAAAAAAACAT